CAAAGATGAGCAAGAAATTTGTTAATATCAAGATCAGACAATCAGACAGTAATGTATTAGCAAATAAGATGTAGCGCATGGTTGTATAGAAGAACTGCTTCATGAAAAAGGTTGTGATTAGCAAAACGTTTATGCAAAGGAAAAGTGATACAAAAACCTGAACTAAAATGACTCTGTAATTAATGCTTCGCATTAGGGATTCACCACCAACCAATGAGTTGTTGTTAGTCATATTTTTCTCTGGTTTTAAAGGTTTTAATCTTTCCTGTGGTGATTCGGTCAAATAAGTTCAATATGAAAGATCTCACTGCTGCAACTGGTAGAATTTGCATTGACTAAAACAACTTTACACACCCTTAGCATGTGACATATATGTACAATAAATCACAGACAGAAACACATCAACAGGTCAAAGGGCATAAGCTTACTAAACCATCCCTGCAACACAGCATTGTGGCACCAATTTCCATAGACAGATGTCGTCTGTTGAGCTGCATGCAGCCTTCTGAGAGATGATCGTGTATGAAGACTTTATAGCAGCAGCTATAACACAAGGGGGATGCCAAATGAAAAGTTTACCTACACAATGTTGTCATCACCTGCTAACACACTTCCTATGTTGTAATTAGACAGCACCTATTCAACCAAACTGTATACATTTGTGAGTAAAGGGGACATTTGTTGGCTGATTGAGAAAGGCCTCATGACTTGTGACTTAAGGTCTCTAAATGTGTAGTATGTAACTGATAAATAAATTATACTTTGTGGCTAGTAGAAAATGTACTAACATTTTCAGATAGAGATACAAAGTAAAATGTACCAAAAGTTGGGTGAGCATTCCTATGGAAGCCCAGTTTCATGTTAAAGGTGTAGTGTGTAGTATGAAATTAAAACATACCTATGAATATTATATTCATACACCCAGAGTCACATCCAAGATGGCAGCCAAGTCAGTCCATTGTTTGTGTGTCAGTACCTGAGGTCTGACTTTTTCACTGTGACATTGTGACAGTGTTTCTCCTGTTCTGCAGTTCTGACCATCTCTACTGTAAATACTGTACCTAAAACCTCCCACTGCTACCTGGTCTGTCCTCAAAAACAGCATTTAAGTTGGCAACATGTATTTCATTGTATTCCTGATGCTTCTTCAGTGCAGCCCTGGATTAAATGGACTAAATGGACACATATACTTCATATACTCCAGACAATTCTCAACTTCTCAGACAAGAAGTTTTAAGCCATTTTACCAACTAATTGTTCCACTTCATCAACTACAGGTCTACTGTTCTCAAGTGTCTCTCCCAGTATCTTCAAAACCTAATGCTGTTACATTACTATTTTACCATTTCAGAGGACTCTTTCTTACAGTCTGTAGGTGACAAGAACAAACAAAAATTATGATGTATGATTATACTTTTGTTGATGCTTTCTGAAAATGTTCAGCCCAATCCTGGGCCTACTACTTTTCTACAATGTTTATTCACTCTCTCAGATTTCAAAGCCAGAACAGGCCTTGGTTTTATACACTTAAATGTTAGATGTCTTGTTTCTAAAATGGATATGATTAATATCTGGACAAATACAACCAACGCTGACATATTTGTTCTATCCGAAATTTGGCTTAAGAAATCTATAACTGATGAATGAATTTCTATTAATGGTTACAAAGTCTATAGAACTGATCGGGTAAGTAAAGGAGGTAGGGTTGCCATGTATGTTATAGGTTCATTAGCTCTGTTACTCTGTCAATAACTAAAGCTAAACAATTGGAGGTCTTGGCAATCAAAGTAGATGTATCAAAAGATTCTCACATCACCATGACTGGCTGCTATAGACCCCCATCTGCCACTAAGGATGCTTTCAAATCTATTTCAGATATTTTACATGATTTTAATGACTCTGAATTCATTCTTATGGGTGATTTAATTCATTTTAAAAGATATTCGCCCATTTGCACACACATTCACGGCAAACAGAAACTAACGCAGTTCAGTAACCTTTAAAGCAATGGTTCTCAACCTGGGGGCTTAAACTAAAACTTAATGGGAGGCCGTCTTCATTTTAAGGGTTGTAAGAAAACTTAAGAAAATTGACACAAAAGGGCTATATCTCAGCATTTTGTTCAATTGAAAATTATTTTAAAATTATATAAAAAGTTGCTAAAAATATCAGGAAAATTCATTTCTGATGCAATATCCATAAAACATAAAACATATAACTTAGTCAGGGGTCATCAATAAGCATGTAGTGGTACCTGAAGAAGTGGGTATACTCTTTATTCATATCCAAATTTTTTTGAAGCAGCCGTCCAGCAAAGGATAAAACCCCTGTGTTATAAACAGTGACATATAAAACTAAAGATAAGCAATAAATTCTGGCCCACAGACTGGGGTAAGACAACTAAATAATAATGCATTTTATTAGTATAGTATTCCTTGTTCCTTACTCTATCTACTCATAACTCACAATTTTGTCATCCCTATGCCATTCTAGGGGAAAAAATTCAGCGAGCATAACAATACTGAATGATGCACATCCGGGAGGATTTAAAAATTTGTATACCCATGAAAAATAAGTGGGTATACTCCATATACCTACGCATGTCCTGCAATACATCACCACTCATCCGTAATGATGACTGTTGTCTGTTGATATAATTTCAATGTATTATTTCAGGTGTATTCTGTCTTACTCAGCATGTTATTTCTTATATAGTTATGTTACATGTTTCAGCACTCTTTCTTTATACTTTGCTTTGTTGTTGTTGATATGCACACATGCATGTAATGTCGTAAAAAATAAAAGGTGGGCAATCTAAAGAAGCCGCATGGGATTAATACTGTTTTGTTTTGATTTTGGGTATACTTTGCTGTAAAACTCAAAATATTATCTTTCTGTATATGTACAGTATAGAGATTTTTCCTTAATCCATGCTCACAAATCACTGAATTGAGGAAACAGATTTCAAACAATGTTTGGAAGAAGATCTGGATTGTTGTCATTGTCTGGCCTGTGTACTCAGTATCATGAGGGAATATGATAGTGCTGGTGGCACTCTGCTGTCATGGTTTGTTTTTCTCCATGTGGATTTAGAGTTAAAAAAGAACAGCAATGGTAATGGGCTGATCAACCCTATTCTCTTATGGCAAATAAACTCCTATGAAACTCATTAAAAGTGACTATTGATAGCTTCATTAATTATTTTAAGTATCCTCTGTCTGATTTGTCTTGAAGTTTCTGTAATAATTCAGTGTTGTTATCAAGATGTTTTTATTAGGCTTAATGGGTAAGTTACACTCATTAGAACTTTTCGGCTACCGGGCTCTCACTCAATATTGGGCCATATTCAAAACGTTCTCCCAGTGAGTTACGCTGACACAACAACATTGCTTTATGGTGGGTATATATAATTAAGCTATGAGATTTTTCCAGCTCAATCCAGAATCCTGGATTTTCCAATTTCTGCAAACTCTTCGCAATTAACCTGACTCTCTGAGTGTTAATTTGTTCACCTTCATGTTTTTTTTCAAATATATTGCACTAAAAACTATTTACATTTTGTCTGTTATTGTTTGTGTTTAAAAAAGCTTGAACACATTGTGACAGAACACTCCAATAGAGTAATTTACTGAAAAATATTAAAATGGATTCAACTATAAATAAGCGATTATTTTATTGTTGTTGGGTGTATTAGTAAAATTTGTGTCAATTTGGAAAGAAAAAGAGGACACAGCAAATTAACATTTGAATCTCTGAACAATTATTTAATATCAAAACAGGTCACAGATATTAACTCTGACATTTCAAAGCCACATCATTCAAGAAATATGCATAAGATTCCCAAAACTGATCAACCAGTGTAATAGTGTAATATCAATTCAGGTTACCATCAACTGTGACATTTTAAAGCAACATTGGTCCAAATGTGCAACAGGTAACCATTCTCCCACTGTGTGGAAGAAGGTACTGGAGGCCTTATGGGGGCACAAACTGCATCATGGATTAACTAGCTTTTTAGTTAATTGTGGACTACATGGTGTAAATATGATTTAGAAACTGTAAAATGTTCTTTAAAGTTATTGGTGTAATATCCATGGCAATGATATGAATTTCCCCTTGGGGATGAA